ACTGATAATTGCAAGGAGATAGCTGGAGGCATGAGGGTTGGGAGACGAATTCTCAGAGCAGTTTGAAGGATCCAGGTGAAAGGCCTGGGCAGATTGCCAGGAGCCTGCAGAAGAGAGTGCCCTGGTGATGGGGTGGAGGAACCCGAGGAGACTGCACCCGGGGAGAAGACATTTGGGGCTTAGGAGGGATCAGCTTTCACCAGCCCAGGCTGAACCACAGGGAGGAACCGTGAAGCCCAGAGCCTATGGGGGACACGTCACTGGTGTTGCCCCTCTGAAGACCACACACAGGTGGAGAGGAGACCAGAACCTTAGGATTTTCCTTCCACCCGCTACCCGCACCCAGTGTCCCTAGCTGGCATTCGTACTAGAAGCACTTGAAGAATCTTGAAGGCCCTGGAGTTAAAGACACCGAGAAACATTACAAACAGACAAACACGGATCTCTCAGCATCCACATCATGTGCTAATAAGAAAGCATCAGCCAAGAAAGCCGCATCCCAGACAGACTAGGAATAGTGGAAACCACGTGGCAGGAACAAGCTGGGGGCTTGGTGGGAGGATGTGAGAAACAGCGTGGCACTTCCTCTGCAAGTCTGCCGTGATGAGGGTCTCTTGGGGACCAGCACACAGCCTTACTGGAGGAAGAGGGAGCCTGTAGACTCCTGGGCCTGGTGCAACAATGCCCCTGGGAGGAAAGGGATCCCCAGGGCCTTGATACCAGAGTACGCTCTGCAACAGAAACCCTGTATTAAAACGTCTTGTGCAAAAACAGAAATGTGTTATTGCATGGCTTAGCAAGATTCCAGAGTGATGAGGTTGGAGACCAGATCTTTCCATCTCTGCTGTGTCCCCTCTTGGTACCAGCTTCATGCTCAGGCTGGAGCTGGGCTGGCTGCAGCAGCCCAGGCATCCCAACCAGACACAGACATATCCAGAGGAGAGAGAAAGAGTGTCCTCTTAGGAGACCGGAAGCTTTCCTGAGAAGCAAACCCCTCATTCCAGACCTCAGTTCATGGCTCATTGTTTCGATGGGTCTCATGCAGTCCTGAATCACATACTGCCATGGGGGGTGGAGTAATTCTTGGACCACCCAGGCTTCCCTGGGACCCGGAACTGGGTCAGCCTCCTCTGAAGCTCCTTGCAGCTTGGGACAGGGAAGGGTACCTAAATGAAATGGGAGGAAGAAGGGGAGAATGGGTGCTAGGTAGGCAGCCAATGGCTAATGGCTCTTAACCGAGGGGCTAACGTGCGGATAAACAACCAATCAGGCCAGAAGGCAAACTGGGTAATGGCCCCAACCCAGGGCATTAGGGAAGCGTGCCCGCCACCCCTTCCTGCCTCCACCCTGGCCCCAGAGTCTCATACTCCTGTCTGCTGCTGAGAAGGTGACAGTGAAAGATTGCCACAAGTTGTCCTGGGAGATGAGGCACAAGAATACATCTGATAGAGCAAAAACAATGCAGGCTTCTCGAGTGGAGGGAGGTGGAAGGCGGTGCTGTGGAGAGGGGAGGAATCCAGCCTGGACAAAGGGGTGCCGGGCCTCCAGGCCTTGCTTTGTGACCCTGGGCGAGAGAATAACTGCTTGAGCCTCAGTTTGTTGGTTGGTAAAAGAAGACAATCAGATGAGTTCTTTCTTTTCTTTCTTTTTCTTTTTTCTTTTTTCTTTTTTTTTTTTTTTT